TTCAAGCAGTAGATAGGGCAATTACCACATTGTAGGGGGTCTTCCTGAGTTGAGACTCTGAAGATGGCGATGTACTGCTCATACGAAGCAAATTCCGAGAAAGCATGTTCTGATTGGAAGCATCATCACCCCCTTCTCCATCCATCTCGCCAATGAGGTTTCCATCCGAGCCCATTCTAGGTGTGTTTAGTCTAGTCATAGATCCACTGTCATTTGTAGTATCCACTTGAAGCGGGAGTGATGACCGAACTGCCATACCTTGCATGCTCCGTCTCTTTAGCTCCTCTTCTGCATTCAGAATCTGCAAAAAAAACAATAATCGTGACCAAATAATAATCATGCTAGGTCCATACACAATTTGACAGATTTTCAGAATAATTAAAAGATAGGCCTCATGTAAAAGTTTCCATTTCCCCAGGGATTGTTTTTAACCAAGATCACCTGTTTTAATAATTGTACCAAACCGTGCTTTTTCGTATTCAAAATCTGTAATTTGTCCTCAATCTCCTTCTTTCTTTTCCCTTTATCAGTTGCTGCATCCTCTTTGTTGCTCGTCTGCCAAAGAGAGTGATCAAAAAAGTTTTAAAAGCTAAGAAATGGAATTCAGTGGAAACAATTTGGAGGTGGTCCTTATTCAAAATTATGCATCAAATTTATAGTTAACTCTGATCACAAACATAATGTATAATCATATATTTTTTCATATCCCTTTGGAATTGGGACATATTCAGACATAAAGATGAAAAAATTACTATAATCTCCAACGAGCCACGAAAAGAGATCCAGGCTAATTAATTTTGTGTTTTTTAGAAGAGAATTGACTGCCAAATTACATGTAAAATACAGATAAATGAATGCATAAATCAGACGTAAGAGAAGAACAAAGATGCCAATGGACAACAAGCAAGGATGCAGACAAAAAGGAAGTCATTAGCAGAACTATTGAGCTTTTCTGCCTTTGCACTGTTCAACACATCATCACTTTATTCAGCTTGCATTTATTCAATAGGGAAATTTAATTCACCATTTCTCCATTTTTTTTATTGATGAAGTAAATCATATTATTAATGATGGGAAACCACTGTATACCAAACCACATACCAAAAGGTAGAGAAACCTATACCAAAATATGGTTCTCTACAAAAGATATCCAATCTTCTATACAATAGGAACCTCATGGTGCACCAAAGAGAAACTAGACACGAGATTATTTTTCAATTTTACAACTTCATTCTTAACCCTTCAAATGCTCTCCTATTTCTCTCTTCATGAGATGGTCTGCATATTGTCATATTCATCCAAACATCTGCACATGAAGCACCAACTAACAAAGGTTATCCTCCTCTTCCTAAAGTTCTCCGCCGTAGGTATTACTGCCTTTGCTGCCAATTCACGCGAAGAGACATGCCATTTTAGGCACGCAGGGGACACAGTAGAAAGGTATGGGAAGTCAACTCCTGCCTCACTAACAAACTCTCGTAATTAGACTTAACTGCGAATAAGCCATCCCTACTATCTCCCCATCTCCATAAATCTGATGTAGCATATGGCATTCACCATTCTCCAACAACCATTAATTTCTTAATGGAGAATTTTGCCAAAATCTAATTAAATTATCCCAATCATCAACCAAATATAACTCCTCATCTCTCATCGGTATATGAAGCTTCAGCTCAAAAATATTAAACTTAAACCTACTACACATATAGCATACACTCTTCCAAATCATCTGCTACATGATACATCCTTACATCGTGGCATATTGCAACCTCCACTCGGATAATAAGCAAAATGGGGAAAAGCTGTGTAAGGTATACACCGACTTCACCCCTGACTTAGCTAGGAGCCCTTTTTAACTAAACAAAAATAAAATGCAGAGGAGCACTTTGTGCAAGAGATAAGCAATTTTTAACTAAAAACCCAGCAAAATTACATAGATGATACCATTACAAACAAATAAAATCAATAATTGCATGTAAATTTCAATACCTCGAATCTAGGGGGATTCACCGAAACCTCCAATTTCTCGCCGTTTTCCAAAACCTCAAGCTTAGGTTCAACCACCACATCAGACGCATCGACCAATTGCTCCGACAATTTCCCATTCTCTCCTTGAACCTCCTCTTCCTTCTCGGCCTTTACTGGGACCAAAGAAGGAACCTCATCCTGAGAATTGGAATTGGACTCAGTTTTAGGGTTAGGGTTGTAGGTGGTGGTGGTGGTAGTGGTAGCAGCGGTGACGGCGTCGGGAGGAGTGGTGGTAGTGAGGAGGCGAGAGAGGGCTCGGGACCGGCGACGGAGGAGAATTCTGAAATCCTTGAGGGAGATTTTGGGGGTTGGCATAAGCCATCGGCGTGGAGCTTCGGGTACTCTGTGGAGGTTTCCTTTGTACAGCGATAATGCCACCATTTTTACCCCTATGAAAATTTGCTTTCCGTTTAAATTGTTTGTTGATATTTATATGTTCCGGATTTAAGTTAACTAGTCTCCGGCACATAACAGATTTCATATCTACGTGAGTTATAAAAAACGGAAAAAGGTTAAATATATTCCTATATTATTCGAAATAATTTAAATATAACCTCCATTTGAATATCCGTCCAATAATACTCCTAACCTTATACTATTGCATTGATTTACCCTTGGCAAGTTCAGAATCAAAAAGCCCATCCCCAATTTATATTTTACTAGTTTTAGGATAAGCGTATTACGCGTGTACCTAATATTAATGAATATAAAATTTTAAAAATCACACTAGTATTTTTAAACAATGTGAATGGGTAATATATGAATGGATTATAAAATATAATTTTAAAATAATACAAGCTCTTAAAAATAATGAATATTATATCCCAAAGTTTGAAAATAACATACACTATATTTAACAAAATATTAATAAGTTTCTAAAAATGTTTAATCTTGATCCTGGTTAGCTAATATCTCTGAATACTGAAAAATAGCAGGACTTAAAGCAAGAAGATTGTCATGTTTATTTTATCGTTCTGTTAAGTTAATTCATAAAAATTATCTCTATTATTTTTCTAATTGGTAGTTGTGATCCCTTAAGAGTGCCACAAAGGAGTTACAAATAAAATCAAAAGAAACAAAAATAGTTTATTGTGCTTAAAGTGGTTACAAATAAAA